AGAAACCTGAGCAGAAACATTTCTGAGCATAATTTGCCTGCACATGGCAGGGGGCTGAACTAGATGATCTTTAAGGTCCCTTCCAACCCAAACCATTCTGTGATAATAGAGCAGTGCATTTAAATGTGTTTAAATATGCAAAGAATTACAGTGGTACTGATGAAAATAATAATTTAATTAAATTTGCATTTGTTCTGAAGCTTTGAAGCATTTCTATTATTTTTTACCCTGCTATCCAAATGTTGAATTTAGACCCTAAAATGCTTTTTTCCAAAACATTATTGACCTTCCTTATATGTGTTCAGGCTTTGACATTTGGTTAGGTTTTGGGTCAAAATCAGTGACTACAGGCAAAACACTTTTAATTGAAAATATCAGTGAACATAAAAACCACAAGAAAACTTTCTGGACAGGCATTTATTCAACAGCTTCTACTTTATCATCCAGAACACAAACACATAACATCTAGAGGTTCAACTGTTTCACAGAAACATGGAGTCACAGAATGGTTTGGGTTGGAAGGGAGACCTGAAAGCTCACCTTCCACTAGCCCAGATTGTTCCAAGCCCCATCCAACCCGGCCTTTCATTGCCATTGACACAAGGCCAGCAAACACTGTCCCCTTGGAGGTAGGAAAAGCGAACTGTATTTCCATTTTCCCATGCCACACACCAGAATGGGATTTGAATGCCAGCAAATGATGAGGATTAGCATCAGAGTCATGTTTGCACACTATTATACTGCAGGTCTAATAGCAAACCTAAGAACATGTTGGTTTTCCATCCCTTCACAGCACAGATGGCAGCAGTGTGAGCTTTCACCACTTACCCAACACTTGCAATCACAGTCTTGTGGAAAATGTAGGGCAACTGAAAAATGATGGCAGTTCCCAGGCTTGATAGGAATGTTACAGAGTTCCTCAGGAATGTTTTAGGCTGTTTAATAAGATTTTGTGCTTTAACAATGAAATTTTGTAGGTAGGATCTTACTTCCTATGAAATTGTACAAATCATGTGCAATCACCAGTGATATAGCCAAGGGAAGAGCTCACATCAACACCCATCAGAACCTCTGGAAAACTGAGCTGAACATCACACAGGAAATAAAGAAGTTTAAAGTTCCTTTAAATAAAAAATAGACGGCAAAGACTGCATCAATATAAGATTGCACCAGGACTCCGCCCCTGTCAGATGCAAGAAACTCAAAGTAGAATCTCTATATCCATCTTAACCTTAAAATTCAAAGGTAACATACAATCATTTTCCATTTGCTCCAGAAAATTATAAAGCAATTACTCATCCCACCATTCCAACAATTTTTTTATGTTCTCAAAATCCACACACAAGGAGATACCGGCAGAAAGACAGCACTGGATTAGAGGAACTCTGAGACAACCTGAAAAAATCATGATGATAACTCAAGGGTGACACCCACAAACCTCAGTAAATTCCCAAGGCCTTAAGGACTGACACTAGAACATTCTGAAATGACAGCTCTAACAGTTTCCACATTTGGTAAAGTCCATATATTGGTTTAAAAAATGGTGATTCTCATCTATTCTAGGAGTAACTTCTCCAGACAAACACTTTTTCAAGTTTTACAAAAAGGTTTAAGAATGTCATTCTCATAGAAAACAGATACAGTTAAATTAAACACCTTTTCTTTTCCAACTGGTCACCTTTATTTCCAGCTCTGATGCCTCCCAACAGGAATTCTACAGGACTATTAACAAAGCAAAGAGCAAACCAGTAGGTTTGGGGGATACAAATGGTAATGCAGGTACAGTAGATCCCACCAGTATGACTTCCTTGCATGACTTAAAGTCTGGAGAATCATGGATCATCTTCAGAACTTGGTTGAAACTAATGACTGATCTTACAGGAATTATCATACATAAAAGCTACTATTTTGGACTTTTTAATGACATAAAATAAGGGTTTAAATTTGTTGTTAGTGTAACTCAGAAAAAATACTTTTAGTGCATTTTTGGGGGGCATTGACATCTCCCCAAATGCTCAGTGGCTTTAGCTGACTGCAGTGAGTAGAAAATGGTCACAGCAGGCCAGATTCTGCAACTCTAAGGAGTCAGGCTGAAATGAAGATATTTGGCATTCACTAACACTATACAGCCTAGAGCTTTGATTTTAAAACTGATGTCTTACCAAACAGAGCCATCTGTGTTCCCTCTGGGAAAGGTTCCACCATTCTGTTCCCATTGACATGATGCTTATCTGGAAGGGGGGAAAAAAAACAAGTGAAAATGCAATAGTGTACCTGCTTTGCATAAAATCAACTGTTTGTTTCTTACAGATCTATTGAAACCTCGAGTCTGATGTCTGCAATCCAACCTGCGCAATTCCCCAACATCTGGAACTTCACACTTTCTATCTTTTAAAAATACTGTGCCAAAGTCCCAGGATATAAACTGGAGATGACTTGCAGTTTGGTGGCTAAGACAAATCAGCTGATAGCAACATGACACACACTTACAGAGAAATGTACAGCAGCAACCTATAGCCTTGACAGCAACTTCCTCTCATGAGGAGAAAAAAACCCACAATTCTCCTTCGCAGGGAGGACATTTGCTGGTGGTGTTCAAGCCCAAGATGTTTCATATGTTCAGAGAACCACAGAATCACAGAATGGTTTGGGCTGGAAGAGACCTTAAAGACCACCTAGTTCCAACTCCACTGTTAGGGGCAGGGACACCTTCCACCAGCCCAGGTTGCTCCAAGCCCTATCCAGCCTGGCCTGGAACACTTCCAGGGATGGAGCAGCCACAGTTTCTCTGAGCAACTTGTGCCAGTGTCTCATCACCCTCACAGAGAATAACTTCTCCCTAATCTCTAACTTAAAGCTTCCCCTTTCAGTTTAAACCCTTTTCACTGGCATCCCCACATTCATTTTTTGCTGCTAGATTCTTCATCAACAATGGTAGCATGAATTCAAGCTGCCTGAACACCAAACACAGGTTTCTGTCCACAAAATCCTTTTTAGTGAGAAAAGCAACATATTTGCTCGGTACGTGCATTATTTTACTTCCTCTGGTACTGAACCTGGTGAGGAACAAAAGAGGTCAAGAGCATAGGATTGCCTTGAAAATTGTCCGAGAGCAATATTTCTCATTAACAGGGGGGCACATTCCTAATCCCTGTTGGCATCATTTATCAACAGCCAATGAGAAGGGAAAATCAAGAGTTATCTGCAACTGGAGCAAGAAGTGCCACAAGTCAATTGGTAGCATTTAGGAAGATTAAATGCCCTGTGTCTCAGGAGGGGCTTTAGGAAGGAAATCGCTGGGAGGTTCCAGAGTGGGAGTAATATGACCAAGGTTCCAACCTCATTAGCCATAGATGGTATTCCCAACATGATCTAAAGCCACCTGAGATGAGAGAACAGTCAAAAGAATTATGAAACATCATGTAAGAGCAAATAACCTAACCCTGCCCTAGCCCTGGTAGCTGCTTTCAGTTGAAGAGTGAGTGACACAGATGATGTATGAAGCAGTTGTCATTCCTAATGTGAGGCTTTCAATATATTAAAATTAAAATTAAACTTTCGGAGGTGAGATGGGCTTGAATGAAAGTAATATTTTCTGAGTTCTTAAGTTGTCTTCCAATGCCTTCATGCCTTCATTTCAAGATCTGAGCCAGATAAAATAATTCATTTTCTTGTCGTTCATACTTTGCTTTACAATTTTGCAGTACTTCCTGCCCAGATGCACTAAATAGTAAAATCCCCCAGAATTTACAAGGCCTTTCACAAAATATACATTCAGTCTTAGGCAGAAAGTAACAACACGTGAGTATAAAGAGCCTTTCACCAAGGACACTAATCAAAGACCATCACAGTTTGGGGCTCTTTACTGAACAGGGAAAACATAAGTTTTAATTCTCACCTGCAAATTGGATTGAGAAACTCCAGAAAATCAGGAATACTTTGGCCCCATAGAATTAGAAAAAAAAGGGATTTTCCCTGTAACTTGCCAACAGAAAGAATGACTGACATTCCAGAGACAAGGAATTGCAATAAGTGACATACACCTGTTTTTACAGAGACATGGAGAGATCACCAGTGAAAACCCAAGAGGTTGTAAGTTCATTTCAGCTTTTGAGTGCTGAAAACAACACATTTCACCCAAATACTGTCAATATTTACAGGGTTAATCTATCAGTGGATCATGGAATCACAAAATGGTTTGGGATGAAAGGACATTAATGCTCATCCAGTCCCACCACCCTGCCATTGGCAGGGTCACCTTCCACCAGCCCAGGTTGCTCCAAGCCCCATCCAGCCTGGACTTAACACTTCCAGGGATCTCTTTATGTCATTTTTTTGTAATCTTCTTGATCCTTGGGGTTTCAACTGGAAGTCACTTGGTAAGAAATATATTCTTACTTGTGGTTTATTGCTATTCAAGCTGTCAGCAGTTCGTTCCATCACATAAATTCACAACTAAGCAACTTTGGGACTTCCTCTCAAAACTGCCAAATGCTACTCCACCCTCAACTGCCAAAACTCTCTACCATTTTCCAAACTAAGCCTGAGAAATATCTGCAATGTACTTTGC